GCTCTGTTGTTGACAGCTCATGAACTTTGGGACTTAGGGGCATTTGGGGCCTTAAATCACCTACCAGCAAGAGTATACTGCTTCTTAGTACCTTGTTCTTCCTCTCTTTGCCCTGTTGAGTCCAGGACACAGAAATCTTGGGTGAAGAAGGACTGACAACTATAGATTGGGGAAGTGGGTGTCTGGCAGCTTCTAGGTAGATGACAGCCAGGTATATTTGAAACTCAGGTCTGCGGTTGTCTGGCTGAGTTCACTTGGGCATGTGGCCCCTCAGCAAATTAGTCAGGACTGTTAACTATTGACTACTTTCCCTTCCCCTGTCCCCAGAAGAATGGAAAAGGCTGGGGAATTGAGGAACTGCTGCAGAGCTCAGTGCTTGTGAGCCTGGATGTGATGTGAATGGAGGGGTCTCATGATATAAATGGGTCTCGACCGGCTGACCCACAGCACTGCGCTTCAGTGCTTAGCAGGAGCTTGTCCCGACTCTCCTGCTTTTCTGCTCTTAGAGCTGGTCCCAGTTCTGGCTTCCTCATGGTTTGGTGGAGAAACTTGAGGGTTCTGGGGGAAGGGATGTGTTTTCCTGTGTAGCTGACTCCTAATCACTTACTGACAGACAGGTGGGCAGAGAGACCTGGAGACCTGGAGACCTGTCATGAGGTCACTGCCAGCTCTTCTAGTCCAGTCAGCCACCTAGCCCCGGTGGAAGGTGCCACAGGCTTGTAAAACACCAGGATGTTTCTGTAGGCATTTGCAGTGAAGAGCTTTCCCCTCCTTGACTTTAATTCAAGGCTGGCTTGGGTCTGGGAGTTTCCTACTTCCCCTAATTCCTGAACAAATGAATTGGATCAGTTTGGGCTTCTTCTAGCTTGATGTCCCCGCTCACTTACACACAGAGGAAGAAGCTCTGAAATCCAAGTCCCTGCCATACTGACAGTACCTTCCAACCCCTCAAGGCTAGAGTGAGTTCCCCTGGATGCAGGGGGAACTGAGGCCCTGAAGAGAATGGCCTCGCTCATCTCTTGCAGCCAGGAAGTGGAGGCTGGGATCTCCAAGAAAGACTCCAGCCCCCAAACCCTGCACAATTTCACCGCCCATCATTGGGGGGGAGGAGAAGGGAAACGTCTAAAGAAATGCAGTTATTGCTTCACCAAGACAAGTGAGTTTGCTCATGGGATGGAAAATTGTGAAACCTGGCTTGGAAAGCTTTCTGTTGGATAGACTGTGAGGCCTGCATGGTGAGGGTTCTCCCATCACACCTCACTCTGCTTAGCTTCTAGTTAGAGATCTGGCTGCTGGATCTTGCTTTCTCAAGCAACCCAATCAAACTGATGGAAACGGCCAGTTTTAGGTATCTGACCACCTCTTATTAGCAGTTCTGCAAACTTACATATGCCATTCTGTAACAGGAGGCCTGTGATCTTAGGGGCTCCTTTGAGCCCCTTGGGTAGGGAAGGGTTATTGCCATCTTCATCACTCAAGTGAGGAAGCAAGTGCAGAGAGTTTGTGAGACTTTCCAAAGGCCCAACAGCTGATAATGGTCAAGCCATACTGGGGCCCAGCTCTACCAGATCCCAGCATCAGTCTCTTTTCACAGTCCTATACTAAGGGTTGCTTTGTATTCAAATGTGTTCACACTTGTGCTCCAATTCAGTTGTCATAGCAACCTTAGAAATCCAGGTGTTAAGGAGGTCTCCGTGCCCCTGAATTTCCTGGATTCTATCTTCTTGTTCTTTGTTATATTTAAAGAACAAAATCCTCCATTTTCTGTCTCTCCATCACCCATATATCCATCCATCCATCCATCCATCCATCCACCCACTCATCTTTCCAGGAGTCACCCAGTCATTTTTTCAGTTCCTGTTGTATGGGTCTTATGCAAGGTCTCAGTATAGTGACCATATAGAGCTGTCATTTTGCCACCAGGAGCCTGTAGTCTGTTGAAAGCACAATAAAATCACAATAAAATGCTGAAATAAATGTGATGCTAGAAATACGCAGGTGGAGGGAGTTTAGGTTTGCCTCGTTAATTGGTGGAGGTGATAGTACTCTGCCCCTGCTTGCCGAATACTTTTTTTGTGTGTCTATGAAATACTTCCTTTAATTTTTAAATTTTTATTAATAAATATTTGCAAGTACATAGAGTTTCTGTTCATTGTAGGGAGTTGGTACATGTATACAACATATCCTAATTCCTTTCACTTTCCCTCACTATCCTCCCTGTCCCTTTCTCCAAAATACTTTGTTTTGAAGAGTGTTCTGCATGTATTTTTAAATTTCCTAATTAAACGGGGCATCTGCCTCTGTGGCATTCTGCAGGCAGCGGTTGAGCAGGAAGTCATCCTCCATGTGAGTTAGGTTAATTTGGTGAAAATGACATGAATAACTGTGTAATCTGGGGTGATAGGAAAGCCAGGGAAACACAAAGCTGCCCTTGATGCTAATTGCCTTGTGACCTTGGACTCTAGCTGGTTACATAAATCATCTTCAGGTGAGAACTCACCAGGGCTCACCCAACTTGACAGGAGCTGAGCTGCCTCTTCTCATTAGGATCCTGAGTGCGTTTCTGTAACTGTCTGGACACGTAGACAAGACTCTCTTTCTGGAGTTCACAGGTCCTAGAGAGTCTCTAGGAGGACTTCAGTGACCTGGGAATATCTGAAATTGGATACAGAATGTTGTGTGTTTTTATGAATATGTGTAGTTTTCTGGGAGAAGGGCTGTATCTTTAATCAGTTTTTTAAAATTGTCCCTGAGAATAGGAATTAAGGTAGTGATGCAGCTTCTGAATCCTACCCAAATGAAGTGCTCTTTCTCCTCCCCTCTCTTCTCTCTCATATATATCTGAGGCTGGCCTCAAACTTGGTATCCTCCTCACTCAGCCTTCTGAGTGGCTGGGATTACAGGCTTGTGCCTCCATGACGACACTTCCGTCTAAGCAAAATTTTGCTTTAGCAGGTCTGGATTGAGCCCCAAGACACTGTTTTTGGTTTTTTTTTAGATTTCAAGGTCATTCTAATGCTCAATTTTGGGAACCATTGAATTAGAACATTGCTTCTCATACTTTAATGAGCATATGAAGCCTGTGGGTCTGCAGAGATTGTTAAAGTGTGTGCAGATTTTGGTTCAGTAGGACTGGAACTGGCCCGAGATCTTCCCTTCCCTCCTTCCCATCCCCTCCCCTCCCTTTCTCCTCCTCTTTCCTCTTCCCCTTCCTTCCTCTTACTGGGAGTGGAACCCAAGGCCTTCACACTAAGCTACATCACAGCCCTTTTAAAATTTGTTTTGCTAAATCATTAAGTTGCTCAGTCTGGGCTCAGACTTGTAATCCTCCCGTCAGCCTCCCAGAGTGCTGGTATTACAGGTGTAAGCCACCATGCCTGGCTGGATATCTAACCAGCTTCCAGCTGACACTGATGCTGGTGTTCTGTGCACCTTGCTTTGACTGGTAAGGTTTTGTCTATAGGCATTCTTCTGCCTGGGTCAGTCACAGGGCATTGGTTAGATTTAAACCACTTCCAATTCTTTTGTTTAGGAGTGGGGCAGATTACTCAAGCCACTTACTTCCCTTTGGAGTCCATGATTAGAGGGAAGTCAAAATATTTCTTAGGGAATGTTAAGTACTTAACAGTCCCAAATTTCATTTCCAGTGGCAGTGCAGAGAGTGTAAAGAAGTCTGAGGTTAGATATACTTAGGTATGACTCTGGGCCCCAGGATTGATCATTCCTGTGTTTCATTAGAGATGATGTCTGCTATGAGTTATTGATTAATGGTGGCATAAACCACAGTGGTTTAGTTTTCATGCATAACAAGAAATCCTTTGTTGGCATTAGGATCCTTGGGTCAGCTGCCAGTCATCAAGGACTAGGGTCATTTTGTTTGGCCTGACATGTCTACCATTGGAAAAGAACACATCTGGCATCTTTCCCGCGTTTTAATTAAGAAGAAGGGATGTGTATTGGAATTGTGCTGCCTGGCCATTCCTACTTGCAAGAAATGTTGGAAAGGATACCAAGAGCTTCCAATCCCTATTCTAGAGAGTAGCGAGAGAGAGGAGATTTGAGAAGTGCTATTAGGTCAGCTCACGATATCATTTGCAACACCACATGACTCTAGGCAACTTACTGAATCTTTTTAAGTGTCAGTTGCTCCATTTGTAAAACAGAAGACTAGTTCCTTATAGCAGTGGTTTACAAAGTGTGGTGTGTGGTTCTCAGACCAGCATGGCAAAGCAGCACCCGGAAATATCCCACTGACTCGGAAACTCTGCGGGTAAAGTCCTGGTTTACAAGGCTTTCAGGTGATTCTGATGAATGCTCATGTTTGAGAACCACTGCCTTGATTACCTAAGGCACTCATCAGAGAGTGCTCATAGTTTTTAGCCTGGGAGTTCACATCTTAGACTAAAACAAACTATGATAGAGTTCATTTTTGGAATGCTGAATAATAGATTTCTTGCAATAAGAAGCTAAAAATACCCAAAAAAGAATTTCCATGTATTTTTAAAACTAGTGATAATCAACTCTGTAATTCCTAGGATCTTTTTTGTTTTTTGTTTTTGTTTTTTTTTTGTTTGTTTTTTGAGATGGGGTCTCACTGTGTAGTTGAGATTGACCTGGAACTCACTATGTAGCCCAGGCTGGTCTTGAACTCACAGTGATCCTCCTGCCTCAGCCTCCCGAGTGCTGGTATTACAGGCGTGAGCCACCGTGCCTAGCTAGAAGTTCTAGCTCTATTGAGATATAGTTCACATATCATTAGATTCATCCTTTAGTATTTAATGCAGCGGTACTTAGCATATTCTCACTGAATTGTGCAACCATCACCACAATCAAATTTCAGAATATTTTTATCACCTCCCAGGGAACCTCATAAATTAAATACCGAAAATTCTTCATTCTCTTTTCTTCCCAGTCAGCACATACTAGTATGTATAGTGTTTCTAAGGACTTCCTTTACTTATTTGCTAGCTATTTAATTTTCTTACTGACTTGTTTACTAGGAGGAATTCCAATAATTGACACCATCGACGAAGACACCGAAATCCTAACACGAAAGTCGAGCATGAGTTCATTCTGCAGTGTGGCTGCCAGTGAAAACAACAACAGCAGCAATGATGATTGTTCATTGTTGTGAACAGATGTGTTTCTGTTCAGCCAGGAATGACAACATTTGGGTAAGTGATTGTGTATCTGAGGTCCTAAGACTCATCCGTCAGGTGCGGGGAGACGAACTTCCCTAAATAGTCTCGAAGGACTGTAGTTCTAAGAGTCTTGCTGCTATTTTATGCTGGTGGGAGCCAACAAGAAGGAGTTTTACCCATCGCACTGAGAGTGGGAGCAACTGGTGGGAGTGCACTGAACTAGAACTAGAGGACCAGGCTGGGGAGGCCCTGAAGCCTTGGCTTCAGAACAAATGAGGGTTTACTTTGGAGGAGGGAATGGGCTGGGACAAGAACCTTGCCTCGGAGTGTCTAACCTGGAAGAGGAAGCTGGATTCTATGGGGCTCCAGGGATACAAGCATGACTAATGGAAGAAGCTGCGGACAGTGCAAGGGAAACTCCACAGGAGTCAAATCAAATAAGAGTTATTTGGGCAGGTCGTGAGCACCCTGTCTCTGCAGTTGTGCTTTGGAATGGCAATTGAAGAATCCAGTGGGGGTCAGACAGGAGGATCTTTCATATTTCTGGCATAATATAATGTGAACGAGACCAAAGTGAAGTAAGTGTACACTGAAAGTCCTTACCTCTTCCCTCCTTCCATGGACAGGAGCCAGTAGGAATAATGGAGCTTTTGCTTGTGACTCTGTGCATCTCCTTTATTGGCTTTTTGAGACAGGATCTCACTGTGCTGTTCAGGCTGGCCTTGAACTCAATGTGTAGCCCAAGCTGGCATCAAGCTCGTAGCAATCTTCCTGTCTCAGCCCCCTGAGTGCTGGGATTATAGTTGTGCACCAGAACACCTGGTTTCTGTCTTCTGTTTAACTGGAGTTTTGATTTTCCAATAAGGAGTTCCCAGCTGGGGATTTGGCGCAGTGGTTCCACCACCTGCTTCAAAAGCACAAGGACCCGAGTTTGATCCCCGGTACCAAAAAAAAAAAAAAAAGTTAACTAATAGGGGGTTCCCCAGGGATATATGAAGATAGTAGTTTTCCCATTGGTATTATTTTGTTACTAAGGTAGACAGCATTCAGGTTCAGAAACGGCCCCTCTCTCAGGGTGCATGGACCACTGGTCTATAGAGCCAGGAGCCTTCACGGTGGCACAGATAGCGCCTCTGCTAAGGTAATCAAGGAGGCCTTCATAACATGGAAGCTTGAGATGAACTCCAAAGAAAAGTAGGGTTCCTGCTGAAGCCGAGGGCTAAGCCTTAAGGCTCCTGTTAGAATTCCTCTGGGGTCCTTGGGATCCAGCCTGACTAGGAGTGACGATGATGGTTAGATATCAGGTAGGTGCAGTGGCACAAGCTCGTAAGTGCAGCTCTCTGGGAGGCTGAGGCAGTAAGATCACAAGTTTGAGCCTACCCTGTGCCATTTAGCTATGTAGTGAGGCCTTGTCTCAAAACAAAACAAAAAGGGAGGTAGCTAAGTGAGAAGGCCTTGGATTGAGTCTCCAGCTCTGCAAAGTTAATATATTCAGCAGAGTTTGTCCAGGGCCTCTTTTAGCACGGACATTTCATCTCCTAGGACCCTCACTCACGTCAGGCTCCAATTTAAAAGGTGGAAACTGAGCCACCACTTGGCTAAATAGTTTAGCAGGGATACAAGTACTTGTGGGTGGAGGGGCAGGGTCATGGCGAGGCTGCCCTGAGGAGGCGACGGTGGGCCTGACTTTGAGGAACAACCAGCTTTTCATCTCGGGTCAGCACACCAGGAGAGCGCAGATCAGATGGCATCAGGACAGCCAGAGCATTGGAGAGCTTGGCTTGCAGTCCACAGTGCTGAGCACCCACTGGGGCAGGTGGTGAGGAGTGGGCAGGAGCTGCCTGCCTCGGGGGATGGCCCAGGTCTTGGAAGACCTGTGTGTTCCGCTCCAGGTGGCGTGACTTTCCCTTCTATGCTGAGCACTGAAGCTGGGGAGTGGTGGTAACACCTGTGATTCCAGCACAGGGAGGCTGATTCAGGAGGATCTCATGTTTGAGTCTATCCTGAACTATTTAATGAGACTTTGTCTCAAAATATTACATATAAAAAGATCTGGGAATAGAATGTGAAGGTTCTGGGTTCAATCCTCAGTACCACAAAGAAAACAACAGCAACAACAAAGTCAGACATCAACTCAGGTGAGCTTGAGAAATCTCTGCAGGCAGTATATTTTCCCTATCTGCCTGGTCTCCTCTTACTCCTCTGCTCTGACACCCCTGCCTTCTCCTTGTTAAGTGGGTGGTTGTGACTGGCAGACTCAGGACTCACTGATCAGACCCATCTCACCTGATCAGACTCAAAGAAATTCCACAGACAAAGCTTGAAAGCCTACTGTACAGTTGCTGAAGATGAGTCTCCGTTCAGCAGCCTTGAGCTGTCCTGACCCTTTAAATGAATTCAGCTCCAATGCAAGTGCAACAGATTGGTCTGTCTTTGAGGCCTGAGAAAAAGTGTGATAATTTGTGCTCTTGAAGACACTTCTTGAAAAACTAGCCCAGTGTGGTGGCTTATGTCTTTAATTCTAGCACTCAGGAGGCTGAGGCAGGAGGATTGCTGTGGGCTTGATGCCAACTTGGGCCACATAGTGAATTCAAGGCCAACTTGAACTATATAGCAAGACCCTATCTCAAAAAGCCAAAACAGACAAACAAAAACGTGGGCGAGAGCCAGGCATGGAGATGCATGAGTATAATCCCAACACTGGGGATGCTGAGACAGGAGGATCACAAGTTCAGAGCTAGCCTAGGATATGTAGAGAATTTGAGGCCAGCCTGGACTGCATAATGAAACTGTCTCAAAAAATCCAGTCAAACCAAGGGCCAACCAGCCAACCACCCAACCAACCAACCAAAAACAGGGCCAGGACTGCGGGCGTAGGTTGGTGGTGGAGCACATGCTTTATAAGCATGAGGCTCTGGGTTCCGTCCCTCACACTGAGAAGAAAAAAGAATGGTGGGCAGTTAAGGAATTCATTCCCAGTGGTTACTATCTTTGGTACCAGATGGGTTAGAATTTGAATTCTGGTTTAGCCCTGTCTAGCAGGGCTAGAAATTCTTGGTTGAGAGTATAGTTTTTCTTTCAGAAATCTAGGAAACTAACCCTAGATTTGTGAGGTTAGAACCATAGAAAGTATAGAGAGCTCTGAGGTGTTGGGACGGTGGGCTTTTTGCTTTGTGTCATGTGGTTATTCTTAGCAGAGCAAGTGATAGTGTGCTGGGGAGATGCAGCTCCTTCTAGGGGCCCTGGGGTGTGAGAAGGGTTTATGGAGCCCCCTGGCCATTGGGCCCACCCGTTTCTTCTGTGGATAAAGGCTTGGACTGAACTTCACCCTTGTACAATGAGGAAACATGTTTTAAAGGCCTCACTTGTCAAAAAAGAGTTATAAAACAGACTTAATGAGACTTCTGGATGAAGCCCTGATCATAGGACTGGCTGCTCTCAGCTGAGCGAGGCAGGGATTCAACCAGAAACACTGGCTGAGCCTTGCTCCAGGTCTGGCTTGTTGCAGCCTGTTGGGCCTCCACGTTCTGTCTGCCTCAGCCCTTACCTCCCTGATACAGTGCTTATCTGCCAAGTGTAAGGTGACTGACTGTCAGATATCTGCAAATATAAATCCAGGCTCTCGTCACCCGTGAGAGAATTGGGTAGCCCTCTGGTGTTTCAGTGGGGTTCTGAATAGAGGCAAAGCATCAGGATTCATGCAGGCCCCCTGCAGAGCCACAGCCACGGCCACTACGGCCCCTGCCACCACCTGTGCCTCCGCCTCCTCCTCCTCCT